GCGAGTTTGACTCATAAACAATACAAAGTAAAACGCTGCATGAAAAGTACAATGATTTTAAAAGGGACATTTGGATTTCTGGAGAATGAATCAAATACATTTTTAAGTAAAAGCTTATATCAAATTGGAGGATGTTGTGTGTGTGTGTGTGTGTGTGTGTGTGTGTGTGTGTGTGTGTGTGTGTGTGTGTGTGTGTGTGTGTGTGTGTGTGTGTGTGTGTGTGTGTGTGTGTGTGTGTGTCGTATAGGCTAAGCCTGGCATTCTGTAAAAGCCAGAGAGCACAGATATAAATGATTGTGTGAAATGTGAACAGCTGCACTCATAATTTATGAGAATAAATGAAGAGGACACACTGAACAACACAGATAAATCTCGTCAGAGGTATTACATGGTGAGTGTGAAGCAGGGCAATGTGTGTTTTCCAATGGCACTAAATGTTGCATTTTCAGTCCAGTGACTGTCTTTACCTCCTCCCACACTCAAAAAACCATACTCCCAGCTGCTGTCAACATGTTATTGCTCAGACTAATTCAAAGTCCAGACATGTAGTGACCATAGGTAGTGACCATAAAAGGTCTTCTTGTGCCGCTCTGAATATAATTCATTATGTCTCTGACTGTTTCATTTGAGAAGTATGGCTGTCTCCATTTGAGGGCTGTACGTTAACTCACTGAAATATCTCTAATTTAAGTTTACATTTACACTTATGATAACAGTGCAGACAATCTAATTTTTCAGGCCAAAAAAAAAATAAAGATTGATGTTGGATTTAAATTGTATTAAGAATGGTGCAGTGATGAAGTATTAATGTAGGCCGACCCAGAAGTTAGTATCACATGGGATCCCTGATCACAAGGAATGGGATTTGGTTAGATTGCAGAAAATAAACGTTGTTACAAAGTAACACTCGTTTATGATTCTCTATGGGAAACAATCTAGTCGAAATATTAATAATTTTGCCTGTGCCCTACAATTTTCTTTTCTTGGGGGTCAGTTCATAGAGGGATCAGACAAATGTTTGCGATAGATACATCTGAAAGAGTAATATTTAAGTGTTAAAAATCTATGGGACATACATTTAACAGAATACGTTCTCACAATTGGTTAGTGCACAGGGATGTCACTGCTTGTTTCCCTTCTTTTTTTGTTATGTCTGGGGGATTACCTCTTGGTATTCTATCATTTTGTGACTGTAAAAATAGACTAGTGCTGGCTGCGTGAATGATTGGATAAGTGAGGCTTTGTCTGAATCCTTAATATTCAGTATGGCTAAATATTTATCAACACCCCAGAGTGTTGGTTCGGTGTTACTCATTGTTTCTGTCTGAAACATTTGACTATATCTTCTCTATTTAGTCCGTTCTCTAGTATAACACATGCCAGACGTTTTCAGCCAGTAAGCCCCACTGTTGGCTTACACAAGCCTCTATAAATAGGACTCAGTGAGCAAGACTTCACTTCATCTGACCAAATGCTGACCTGTTTCATGTTGTCTTGGCAATTGTCAGTCTCAGTAGACAGTTTGTTTTATTTGCAATGAAAGAATTAAGAATGAAAGTTCTGGCGTTGTTTTCTTCTTCTTGGATGGCTGCATTTCCTCTATAGCCCTATTTGGCATTTTCATGGAAGCAAAAGTAACACAGCTAGTAACATTCTTGGGTAATATCCAAGAAAGTTTTCACATACCTCATTCACACCAATGGTGTTTCAGGGCCGGTTCGGAGCTGGAGCTTGAAAAGCATCGGGTTTTCCTGTTCATACCAATTGTGATGCTGCACCGTTGAGCGGCCCGACCAAGCAAGGAGGCAGAGGCAGACTTCCCAAATATAACCCGGTGTGGGCATTTATTAAAGCATGAACACATTACACACAGCCTCAATCCTGCTGTTGTTTCCCTGACAGCCTGCAGCCACCAGGATCTCACACACACTCCACGCTCAACAAGGAAACAGCACCTAAATACACACACAGACTAACAAGAACCAGGTGGGGGGGGAGGAGACAACAGAGGGCACCAGGTGCACACAATCAACCGTAACAGACATGGGGGAAGGGGAACACTTTTCAGAATAAAACCAGCAAACAGAGACAGATAAGACAGATGCACAAACTACAGCCTCTTAGCTCCGGAATCCGGTTCGTTTCAAGCACCAAAAAATTGTCCGGCAAGAACAAAAGCACTGCATACGTCACGCTTACGTCTAGGCGGGGGCAGGGGCAGATCAACTCCTGAACAACAACAAAAAGCCCACGTTTTATCCAGTTTGTACACAACGATGGAGATACTTAACAAGCAGCAGTGGTCCACTGAAGAGACCAGCTACCTAGTGGTAATCTGCTCTTCCGAAGAGGTACAGAGGAAGCTGGAGCATACGAGCCGCATATATACTTTGTTTTAACTGTTAGGCTTAATAAACCATTATAGACCTTGGTTACATTACTTAGCAACAACTGCACATGCCCACATGCTAACTATGGGTCTTACAAACCTACATAACATTACAAATAGTCAGACGAAAATATTATTTACAATATTAATAAAACTATGAATTCAATTTTAACTGATTGACAAGGCAAAACACTGCACAGCGGCAGCAGCATTAAAGGAAAATATCGTCTTACCTTGTGTTGGGCCTTCACAAAACTCCAAATGTAGCCTTCATCTCTGGGGTGGCACTAATGAAGACCCTCATTAGAGCAGATACATCCACATTGTCCAAAATGTTACTATGGACATGCATCAAAGTCAGATGTGTCAGTCTGTTCTGTGTCCTATTACTCCGTAACCATGTTTTCAGACGGCGTAGGGTGGAGAAATGAAGCAACCAAGATTGGCATACAGAGGCAAAGTTTTATGAGTTTTTCGACGTCTTGGAAAATGCCTCTTGCTTGTGGATGGAGCTTAGCCACACGTGTGGCTATGTCTTGTACCGTGTGACAGGAAGAATCACCAATGGCATCTCCAAGCATCTTAAGCTGGAGGTCCAGTCCGTAACGGCCCACATCAGAGATTAGCTGTGGAAGATGAAGAGACTCTAGCTCCAGGGTTTGTTGTTGGCCCCTACTGTTAGCTACCTCGATGAGCACGTTCTCTCTGAGAGCTGCTATCTTCATGCCATCTTGATCGAATCTTCTTTTCAGCTCAGCAGTGAGCAAATCCACAGCCTCGAAAAACTCTTGTCGCCATTGTGAGGGAAATTTCTGCAGCAATGGAGAGTCAGGACTCAGAGAGACACGAGGAGAGTTTGAGCTTTGATGTCATACACTGGTGGTTTATTACAAGTATCGGCCGGAGAATTTCACATCACAAGTCACAGCAGCCAGAGGTTCTGACTGCACGGGTGGGTTGCCACATCAATTCTGCCCAGCCTCTCTCTCGATAGACCTTTTAACTAGTTTACAGAGAGTTAATCAACATGGAGCACTGGAGATAGCCCCAACATCTGGAGACACTGAATCACCTGTCTGTGGTGCTTAGAAGCCAGCGTTCTCACAGTCATAAAACCCTCTGTGACCGATAGTTGCCCGGTCATAAAATTGGTAATATCAACAATAGCTGAAGCCTCCCATTCTTAAGACAGATAACAGACTCAGGGTAGGTCATAAACGTCAACACACAGAAAAGGTTAGACTCCTAGGAGTAAGGACAGAAATATTCTCTAACAGCCATGTACTCATTGCATGCGCTTCTGGCTCTGTTGTGTGACGGTAACGGGCTGGGGTTTTGCTTGCCCTGTGTTGACGAGCATCTGGCATGTTCAGTTCCGCTGCAGACACTTTGGATTCTATGCCCTGGACCACAGTGTCATCACGAAGGGCTACTATGCGCTCCCTCAGCAGATTTGTGCATTCCAGGGCACCCCGTGCGCTAGCGTTGTTGCTCTGCAAATTCTTTGNCGTGTTTAATGAGAATTTGCGACTTTAGAGCTGACTAAATGTTTGCCAAACCAAATAATATTTGTAATAATCGTACCGATACTATGGTCCTACGAACCTGTACAACTTTAACGTCGAAAAGGAACACATACACGGTACCAACATAATTAATCGACCGATTTATTGTCTCCGACACTCAACTCTGGATCACACATGTTTAAACTGGCTCGTTGACGAGGAAGAAGATGTATTGAATTCAAGTGTTACTTAAAGAAGTTTCCCAACAAACCCGACCAATTTTGTAGAATGTAAAATCTATGTATACTATGGTCCTTTAACGACCGGAAACACAAATGTCTTCATGGAACTGATACGGCCTGAAACACGTCGGACAAGGATTCTCTACGTAGATTAGTGGAGTCAGACGTTTGTTCTTGCGCATATCAGTGAGAAGCTGCCACATTCTATACTGTTATAATACTTATATTAATCCTTATTAGCAATACATTGAATCACCTGACAGTACATGTTATGTCCTAGCCACGCCGATACATTCTATATATAAAATTCTAACTTCAACTGGGTCGAGAAATCTATACAAGGATTGGTAAAGAAATGTGGTGTTAATAAATACAAAGGAAACTGTAGAAATATTAGATCACACCAACAGAATCAGAATTTCATATGTTTGTATGTATGTATGTATGTATGTATGTTACTCACCTTACAACAGCTACCATAGCGCGTACCAGAGTAGCTGTTGACTGTAGCAAGATGGCGGCCGGTGAGCTATGCTGGAAAATCTCCCATGAGCCATCTAGTGTTTATATATATCTATGGTGACAGACATGTCTGATCTAGAGAATTCGAACGGCTCTTATCAAGGCTGCCACTGAGGTACTTCCGGTAGGGGTGGGCGGATCGATCCCAAAATATCGATACTTCCGATATTACGTTACGTTTCAAAATATCGATACTAGAGCCAATAGGATCGATACTTTTATACTTTTTTTTTTTCTGTCCTCTTCTCGTGAATTTAAACAAAAACTATTTGCAGACGAACACAAGTATATGCGCTCTTTTTTTCTCTCTCCACTGCTGTCCTCCTCTCCTCGAGGCTCTCGCACGCGCAGCCTGCCTGAACGCCGATTATCAAGCTGACAGACAGCAGCCAGCAGGGCAGGACAGAAGCAGCCAGCGAGTGCGACACACACACTAGGGGTGGGCGATGCCACAAAATCTGGATTCGATCCGATACCAAGTATTTCAGGACCAGTATCGCCGATACCGATATCGATACCGATACTTTTTTAAATGAAAAGCGTCTTATGTAGGGGAGAGCTGCATGACATGATTTTTTTGCTGAAATCATCATAAATAGACTAAATCTGAATTCATTTTCATGAATAAAGACAGGACAGTTTTTATAGACAAATAAACGTTTTACTTTTACAAATGTAAAGTGCAAACATGAAATATAACAATACAAAGTGGCCAGAGTAGCGAACTGTCTTCTTACACACATCATAGTTTGCTAAGTTTGAATTGCCAGTTTTGAAATTGCTCCACACAACGCTGCTCTTTCTCTCAGCCATCATGCGCGTGTGTGTGTTGCACTCGCGAGTCGCTGGCTGCTGCTGTCCTGTATGGGCTCAGAACAGTCTCATAATACACACATGCACACAGAAGGATTCACACTTGTATTTCCGGATCCACACTTGTGTTTTTCAATGCACACACAAATGTGTTCCGTTTCATATACATGTAAATAAAATCCAAACACAGAAAAAAGTTTTACATATGTATTTTTGATCCACACTTATTTGTTTTCCGTTTAAATCCCCTGAACCTGCAAACACAAACCGCTTTCTGTGCACGGATCGCTGTGCATTCGTGTGTGGGTTTTTTGAGACTCCCCTGACGGTCACCCGATTCGTACTTGTAATTTCTCTCCTCTTTAGCCAATCAGATGTCTCCTCCAGTCTAAGCCAATCACATGAGCGCGCCCCCACGAGGGTATGATTTCTTGCGTTCATGACACTTCATATACGCATATACAGTCAGCTCGCTAAACAGAGGGGGGAGCTTCAGGTGATCATGCAGAGCTGCGTGTCTCCGTCAGACTCAGCAGCTGATCTGATCTCTCTCTCGCGTCCGGTTACACTTCACTCGCGTTTATGTCCATATCGATCAGATCCAGCTCTCCTGATCGGCCTTTATAGAGAGCACCGATCAAACTATTTAGAGTGAATATCCGCCGATAATGACCGGCGGAGCTCCCCCCGTTGACAGTTTACTGTCTAGCACTGGCTTCGTAGTGCACTGATGATAGGCTAAGCTAACCTGTAGCTGCTCCCTCAACACTCACAACAACTTCATACAGACATAAATAAAGCAGGCAGCTGTATTCAGGAAACACACATTTAAAACGGTTTTGCCTGCCGTTTTTGTGTACACACAAGCATTCATCGAAAGTGGTGCTGAACCTTAATAATATAAAGGCTTGTATTTGCGTGCATTTCCTGTTCGGAAAGTGGCAATGTACTGAGAGCGGAGGTGTCCAGAGATTAGCGCCTGCAGGCAGGCTCCATGGACCTGTCAGCTCCGGACTGCGCAAAATGCGTACATGAAGCGCTACGTCATGAACGCAATAAATCTACCCTCGTGGGGGCGCGCTCATGTGATTGGCTTAGAATTGAGGAGACATCTGATTGGCTATAGATAGAAAAAATTACAAGTACGAATCGGCTGACCATCAGGGGAGTCTCAAAAAACCCACACACGAATGCACAGCGATCCATGCACAGAAAGCGGTTTGTGTTTGCAGGTTCAGAGGTTTTAAAAGGAAAACAAATGTGTGGATCAAAAATACACATTTAAAACTTTTTTTGTGTATTAGGATTTTATTTACATGTATATGAAACGGAACACATTTGTGTGTGCATTGAAAAACACAAGTGTGGATCCGGAAATACAAGTGTGAATCCTTTTGCGGATCATGAAATACAAGTGTGAATCCTTTTGCGGATCATGAAATACAAGTATAAATCCTTCTGTGTGCATGTGTGTATTATGAGACTGTTCTGAGCCCATATGTGAAGCAGTGGCAAAGAATTTGCAGAGCAACAACGCTAGCGCACGGGGTGCCCTGGAATGCACAAATCTGCTGAGGGAGCGCATAGNCTCTAAAAGGTAAGTCTAAAGACATACAGGGAAAATAAATACTAATATACTAAATAAAGAATGAAACAAAACCTCACTTTAAAAGTGGTACAACTAACCAAAGCTGGTTAGTTGTACCACTTTTAAAGTGAGGTTTTGTTTCATTCTTTATTTAGTATATTAGTATTTATTTTCCCTGTATGTCTTTAGACTTACCTTTTAGAGTCCTCCCTTAGTTTGGTTGCCCATTTAAACTTGCGCCTTTGTGGCCTCTATTTTGTTTGTTATTTAAACCGGTGTTTTGGCTCTTTTGTTTGTTTCAGGCTGTTTGCCTGCCATTTTGTTTACAGCTGTTTTAAATAAACGCTTATAATTAATACCAATTCCACTCTGGTCGTGTTATTTCCCTTTGGTTCCCCTAGCCCAATAGGGAACGTAACATTTGTTTTTCACTTTGTTCTGACATCTTGCTGCGAGAAGAGTAAAGAGGAGATTACTTTAAATTGTGGGTAAGGGGAGATAGCTCCCATTGTTCTGTGACCTGTCAATCATCAAACCTGGGGTCATATTTCATTATGTGTTCATTTTTATCTGAAGTTGTACCCATGGATGTATAAATAAGAGTTCTACCGCAAAGTTATTCTCCGTGGGGACTTCCGGCAACAATCTTGATTCTGATTGGCTAGAAGACTTGAAAAAACATCAGCAAAGATATTTTATTGAGAAGATGATCACTTCGTGACAGAAGTTTTCAAAACCGTTTATGGTCTCCGGTACTTCCAGTCCAACGCTGACTGCTAGCACAGGGTTAAAAATTTGGGCCTTCAAAATAAAAGTTTTACTTCCCACCCCCCCCCGCCCCAAAAGAAAAATAATAATTCCAATTTCTTTTTTTTTTTCTTCACTCACACATTCACCCACTCGAAACGGATCCGCGACCCACTTTTCGGTCGCGACCCACCAGTTGAGAACCACTGCTTTCTACATTTAAATATCTGGTCAGAAAGAAGTTTACTGATTGAGAGCCATGTTGTTCTTTCTCTTCTGTGTAGGGTACAAACTCATCGGAAGTCATTCAGGAGTGAAGCTTTGTCGATGGACCAAGGTAAATGGAATTTACTCCTCTCAGTGAAGAATTTGACTTTGTAACTAACTGTTTGCATCCCTAACAATAAAAGCATTGTTTCTGTTGCTCAGTCTATGTTGCGAGGGAGAGGAGGCTGTTACAAGCACACTTTCTATGGGATCGAGTCCCACCGCTGCATGGAAACTACCCCCAGCCTCGCCTGCGCTAACAAGTGTGTCTTCTGCTGGAGGTATGTACCTGGAGAGAAGAGCTACTGCAGACTCTCAGGGGGCAGTTTGACAGAGATGGCTTGGATCATACTAATAGTCAGACTTCAGATACAAGTCTGAATTCATCTTTTGCAGCTAACATTTAGCTAGCTAACTAGATTACTTTTTCTCTAACTCCAACTCATTAGCTTAACCTCACTTTGCAATTTAGTTATTCTATAAAGTATTATCTCTCATAATAATCATCCTTATTGACCGGTAAAAGGCACTATATTTTGTATAATACATATTGATATGGACATTTCTTTTATGCATTTAAACCGATAAGTGTGTTAATTCATATAGAAACAGAATACTTTGTTTCTTCATACAACAGTGCTTTCATTTTAGAGTATAGCGTAAGATTGTAAACCAATACAAATGTTATGTAGCTACGTAAAATCACTCGACTCATTATATTTGCATCCTGGGAAAGTTTGAAAGACATTTGACTGATCAAAGATTGTAATAATAATCTCTAATAATAATACAAAATGTTCGGTAAGCAGTCATCTAAGAGCAAAATCAGCACCTACAGACCATCCTGAAACGGGTGCACTATATGTTGCTTAAAAATATGCGTGGGCTGTTTATGTATTAAGCCCGTTTTTGTCAGGTTTCCAAGAGATTCAGAGATACATCATTTTCCTTTCATCCCCATCAATTTTACTTGCTGCTAAAGAAGCCACTGTTCAGCTGAAGTTAAACAGGGTTGCTTTGTGTGTGATTTATTAAAGTTACTAGAGGCCAACCAGAGGATAACCGTCTCTTAATTTGTCCATCACTGAAAATGATCACTGTGTCTCAGGGCGGGGTCAGCATAGACTCATTAGACTCAACATGTTGGACTTTATTGGTATTGTTATGTCAGTCTTGGACCTCAATATAACTATATAACGACTTTATGTTATTGAATTACAGTTTCCAGATTTAGAGAGGACTTTCCGCAATTAACTAGGTTGAGAGGAAGTACAAAGAGGCGCTGATTAGTTCATAATACAGTTAGTTTTGTTAATTGGGTAAATTAATATCCTGCAAGACTCCTAAAGACGTCATGAGATAATGACCTTTCCACTGCTGGAACATGTTAACATATCAACTATCTCTGCCACGTATGTTTCAAGTGTATGTTTGTGTGTGTTTTATGTGTATAAAGCACACAAGATCTTTCTACTCTGTGGGGCATTTCCACAATTGGCTGCTGAGGCAGAAGGTGATCCAAATTATTATTGTTGTTGCGCAAATGAATAATAATGAATCTCAACCATATCTGTGTTTGTGTTTTATTGATCTCTCTCTGTGTTAACATTTAAAGTTGGTGAGGCATAAATTGCACTAACACCTGCACACCTGTTAGCCTGTTCCACCACTCTTTGTTTTCCGAGGCTAGGAAGGATTGTTGCCTCGCTTCTGAAGGACCTGACTCGGAAGACATGTCCTACCAAGGAAGCGTCCTCGACATTGAGAAACACCCCCTATGTTCTGTATTTCAGCACAAACGCAGCTATATTGAGTTGTATGGGTCAACAAGGAAGTTTTCTCAGCAGGCAGCGGTGGCAGCCAGGAAAAGCAGTCTGGCTGTGGGTGGGGAGGACAAAGCTATTGGCTAGTGATCAGGCCTCTGACTGGCTACAGGATGAGCAGGGAGCTCTCAGTGTAATGTACAGTATGCTGTCCCTAGTCAGGTGCTGCAGCCAGGGAAACCAGAGAGGCTTTTTAGGCTTTCCCCTCGGGTCAGCCCACATGCTGCCCCCTGTGGTATTCTGCAGGGCATGGTGAGCCTGTCACACAGCTTTGAGTGATTTATGATGTAGGGCAACAGTAATACTGCAAAACCTTATTTATTTATGTATTCATGTTTTCATCTTCTGCAAGGATTTTGCTAATGCAGAAGCCAGTAAAACATCCGACAGTTTAATAGCGCACAAAACCAACAGCCAACATATTGATGTTAAAAAATAAAAGCAAGACCAATAACAAATCTGTGTGAAATTTTTATAGCAAATAGAGAACGCACTCAACAACTATTATACTACTCCCGGAGCTCAGGGGCTGCAAAGGCTTACAAAGAAATTAGTGTGCTGCACAAATTAGTGATCCCCTGATTTATTTAAGGTTATTAGTTTCATCATACCAAAATACCAAAAGCATCTGATCTATTGTAGCTAAACGAGAACAGTAAGCCTATAATACTGGCCCTTTCTGGGCTAATACTGCTACCACCCAAGTGTCATATCTATCCATCCATCACTCCTTCTTGCCTTTGTCTACTCACAGTGCCTCCCTCTCCAAAGCAATTCATGCCTGATGAATGGGGAGGCATTGCCAGAGGTATGAAGAGCACAGCTGACCACCGAGTTAACAGAAATGTCAGCTGTCTGCCTCTTTGGTCTACGATTGAAGTGAGCCAACCATACACAAACAGCATTAATAACACATGGGCACAGAGCAACTTTATGGCCATACATGCGCTGACAAAGACACTGGCCAAAGTGACACCACAAGCATGTGAGCTTTCAGGTCCTTCAATGGGTGGCCGGCCGTGAGCAATAATTCCCAGTTCAAATGTATTTCAAACTAAAAAGAGCCCTTTCCCCATGGTGAGAGTGACAGATTTGACCCCGACCCAGAGTGTGTAGGAACATACACAGGGAAACTGTAAATCAACTCAGGGAGTATAGAGTATCCTAATAGTCAGCTTAAGGATGCCTTGCTCAGTCAGATCAAATTGTATTATTTCAATAGCAAGTATTTATATTGCTTGTCACATGTCATACCTGCATGGTGGTCTTATTATTTTTGTGATGATTCCCCTTGCATTTGATTGACTCCATTTTAAAAAGCAGCTTAACCCTGCTACTGATGGACAATACCAGTAAGTATCTAAACAAATGATGTCAGTGCAACTTGGAGGGAGAAAATATTGCCATAAATATGATTCATTTGCATTTTTCGTTCAAGCTGGCATGACATAGAAGTCTTGTTTTAGTCCACATTTGAATCAATTAATGTCCATCTGATTTAGAATACCGTTATTCTTCCCACAGAGGGGACATTTGCATTTGTTACAGCAAGAAAAAGAGCCAAAGTCAGCTTAATATTAACTAAGAAGCCTGCATTAAAAAAAGATTAAAGATAACGATTATTTATTTTTTTAAATTACATCACTTACAAAGTACGCATCCTGTAACAGTTTTGAAGATATAGCAGCCAGGTATATATTGAAGTTATATATCGTCAGACGAGTTGAGTTGAGTAATACAATCAGAATTGTATTTATATCTTGATTGTTTTATGAACATGACTATGATTTTGACATGTACATGTATGTATGTACAGTGGGGCAAAAAATTATTTGGTCAGTCACCAATTGTGCAAGTTCTCCCACTTAAAAAGATGAGGCCTGTAATTTTCATCCTAGGTATACCTCAACTATGAGAGACAGAATGGGGGGAAAGAATCCAGGAAATCACATTGTAGGATTTTTAATGAATTCATTGTTAAATTCCTCGGTAAAATAAGTATTTGGTCACCTACAAACAAACACGATTTCTGTCTCTCACAGACCTGTAACTTCTTCTTTAAGAGCCTCCTCTGTCCTCCACTTGTTAACTGTATTAATGGCACCTGTTTGAACTCGTTATCAGTATAAAAGACACCTGTCCACAACCTCAAACAGTCACACTCCAAACTCCACTATGGCCAAGACCAAAGAGCTGTCAAAGGACACCAGAAACAAAATTGTAGACCTGCACCAGGCTGGGAAGACTGAATCTGCAATAGGTAAGCAGCTTGGTGTGAAGAAATCAACTGTGGGAGCAATCATTAAAAAATGGAAGACATACAAGACTACTGATAATCTCCCTCGATCTGGGGCTCCACGCAAGATCTCGCCCCGTGGGGTCAAAATGATCACAAGAACGGTGAGCAAAA